CGCCCGGGATCCGAACCCGGGCCGCCAGCAGCGGAGCGCGTGCACTTAACTGCTAAGCCACGGGGCCGTGGCCTGTCTTTCTTACACAGCCTACAAGGTCCCATACAAGCCTACCACTGCTGGTATGGTCTAGTTCAAAGGAAAGAAACACTCTCCCTGTCTTCCTGCTTCAATTTGCCCTAACCATCTTCTGATTTGAGAAAAGCAACCTAGAAAAAGGTACTAACGCTTCTGCAGTAATTGGCAAGGGTGAGGAGTGAACAATTCGAGTTGCTCTTTTAACTCTAATGGTTCTCAAGGCAGGGAGATGATTAAGGCATAGAAAAGGTCTGGCCAAACTCTAAGTACAGTCGTCCCTTGGTATGTCCAGAGGATTGGTTCCAGGACCCCCCCCAGATATCAAAATCCGAGGATGCTCAGGTCCTAGTCTGCCCTCCATATCTGCGGAGGTGGAACCCACAGACACTGGAGGGCCAACAGTGTAACAATGATCTAACAGTTCCCTCCTCTACTCTCTTCCTCCAAAGTAAGTACATTCCAGTACTAGAGAGCTCAAGTAATTTCAGAAAAGCAGTTACAACAATATAATCTATTACTAAATTTCTGTACATGCCCAAATTTCAGAGTCTTAAATATCATCTTTAATCTTCAATGCCTGGATGGATTCCCTTCCAATGCTCACTCTAAGTTATCTTAGTTAACAAGTGGCACTTACAGAATAGTCAAATCTTTATTACCAGCACTGATGGAGGAACGTATTGACGTAGTTCAAGTTGTGCATCTAATGAACTGGGTTGAAGATGCAGAGCCCTTATAGAAACCCTTAAAGTATGGGTAAACATACATATGAAAGGCTTGACACACAGGTAATCAGTAAAGGTTTCCTAAATGAGGGGGAATTAGGAAAGCACAAAAATGAGCAGGGGTATTCTACTCAAGTGAAACAGTATGTGCAGCTGCACAAAAATGGTAACAAATATCAACAAAATAGCAAGCAGATGAGCTTAGTTGGAAAGCATACTGCATAAAAATGAGGATAAGTCAAAAGAGCAGAAATCTATATATAAGGCTAATTATTTTGATATTGACATAACAGAAAAATAGGGACTTTTTTCTTCTGGTTTAATCTCGAAAAAAATGACAAAATCTAGAATCACTTCCAGGTTCAAGTGTGGTATAATGAAAAGAGAAAGAAAAAAACATCTGTGTAGGATAGATTATAGCAGTCCAAGAGAGGAAATGAAATTAGCTAGAAGCATGCTGCAATAGTCCTTATTCTAGCCCAATATTATTCCTGTCATATTATAATTTTATAATAAAAGTTTCAGAACTGGATGACTTCTAGAGATCTTGTCTACGCCCCTTACTCTTCACAGAACATATTTTATATATTGTTTATTGTCTGCTTCTCACTCCCACCACCAAAACACATACACACTGCCCCAAGAACATAAACTCCATGAGAGCAGAGAAAATATCTGGTTTGTTGACCCCTGCATCCAGAACAGTGCCTGGCACATAGAAGGGACTCAATAAATACTTGCTTATTCAATGAAGGAAAGAAAGAAGAAAGAAAGAGAAAACTGAGACCTAGAAAAATAAGTCACCTAAAGTCAGAAAGCTGAGTAGTATGTATCCCAAATCTACCAACAAATGGTCCAGTGCTACTCCCACCATACTGTTACACTCATAGACTCATGACGATATGATCTTGAATTGTTTCATGTCTCCCTTCCTGTTCCAGAAAATACTTATGATCCATCCTCAATGACTGGCCCCTATTCTCCCAACTTCAATCCACTTTCATCACAGTAACAAATCTCTGAAAGCAAGAATTTTAATACCAAATTTTTCCATAAAAAGGATAAATTCTAGAAACATAATATACATATATTAAATTATATATAACACTAACCAAATCTGTGGGTTCATCTTCTTCCACCTCCGCTTCATCATCCTCATCTTCAATTATTGAATCTTCCACTGTTTCTTCATCTTCTGTAAGATCTTGAGCCGCCGCTACTGAGCCTAACAACAAAATATAAAACAAGCAATTAACTACCCTGGAATACTGATGTTTTTTAATCTCAGGTACAGGCAATGAAATTTTCCCCTTGGAGTAACTCAATCTCCCAGTGCACCTGAATGATGCCAAATTACAACGCATCTAAAAATATGCATATGATCTTATTAGTAGTCTTAACACAACTGCATGTTCATTTTAATGAAAAATATTGTTTAATTTTAAAAGGCACCTGACAGTTGGAAAAACGAACTGCTGAAACTAAAGATGCCTTGAAGCCCAAATAAAGAACTTCAAGCAATTTTAAGCAAATTAACGAAAATAAATTTGTTTTAAAAGAAACTCCAAAATTTAATCCCTGTCATTAACCATATAAAACAAAAAAAAAAACCCTCATGTCTAAAGGAAAACAGCAATCTCAATATCTAGGCAAGAAACATTGTTTAATTAGAGTTGACTACGGCTCACTCTTAGAACTTGCATGTAATTCCAAGGAACAAATACCTGTATGGGCATCCAGGGTAAAAACTAGCTTGCATAAAACACATTTTGCTTAGTAAAAACGATAGTGGTAACTTCAGGGTTGATAGCAGAGAAAGCATGCATTTATTTTTGCATATGGCTTCAAACATGTTTTAAGATACTTTTTTATTTCCCCTACACTTAACATTAAAATAAAAGTTAAGCGTAACTGTAATGCCAAGAAATTAAAAATCATAATTTTATAGGTAAAAGTACTACTCTAAATAAGTCACATTAAATCTACTTCAGGCAACACTTCAAAAGAAATTTCAAAGTTCTAGCAACTCTTCCAACATTTCTCAGAAAGAATGATGATGTGGCAGTCCAGCAGAGGAAAAAAATGTGGGAAAAGAAGCATGTACATATGCTGTGATATCCAGGAAAAACGGTATACATCAGAGACCATGCATTTTAAGTCTTTTCCACTGCCTAAGATTCTTACTGGCTGTTAAGATTTACCCAAAATATTAAAGAACATTGAATCACACATTATGAACTAAAAACAGCTTCTACTGCTTGCTGAACAAAGACAGAAACAGTGCATTCATAATTTACAAGTCATTCAGAACTTCACAAATTTTCAAAAACCAGTAAGAAAAATACCTACGCCTGACATAATAATTTAAAGTTGTACTTAGTTAAATTTCAGGACTTCTCAATATATGTAACGGTTTTTCACCCTACGTTTCAGTGGATATTAAACTATTTCTTTTAACGTTAACCAGCAACAATTTTGTGCCTATAAAATCTAACAAATTTCCATTGAAGAAATTAAGAGAAAACATCTTTTGAAAGAAAGACCATTCCTCACAAAAAATGTTTAAAGATCCAGTTCAGTTTAGATACTGAACTGATTTTTCTTAAAAAAAGAAAACTTTTAAAACTTGAAAAAACAGTCTAGATCCTATGCAAGTACAACAGTCAAATTTTCTTTAAAAAACCAAACGAGAACAAACCACCAAGCACCCCTCTTTAAACCTGCAAACGAATTCATTAACAGTTTTGATTAATTCTTACTTGGTTTTCTATCCGCTAAACAAAAGCCAGTCACTTCACTCTTCTTTGCGAAACAATTCGTGGATACCTAGCACTATCTTTCATTTCGCCGCACAGCTTGCTTAAACTTATGGAATGAAATTCTAGTGATCGTTTAGTCAGACTAAATTTTACAAATCAGGAAAATCGAAGTTCATGATACAACCAGGGCAAGAAGCCAAGTTTCCACATTTTTAATGTTCTGCTATCCAAATTGTTTTCACACCAGGTTAACTGCCGGAAGGAATAAACCTAGATAAAAAAACTTAAAACTCGAAGTAGACTATTTTTTCAGGACATGATAATTCCAAAAACAAAAAATGGTTACCAAAAGAGAGGCGCGAAAAGGAAGGCACGAGTAACAGATATCCCACAGGGATTCTTCAGCCCGCTTCAGAGTACAGGGGTGGACAGTGGGGGTGAGGATGCGGAGTTTTTTTAAAATCAAGACTCCTGGTAACATATAGGGATCAGGTGCTAATAAACGGGGAGATGCCCAGAAGAAAGGATGCTCCAAGAGTTTAGGAGTGTAGAAAACAGGGGTTTCGGTAAATGAATGGAGGACGACTCCTAGCATGGAAGCTAAAGACACGTCAGCCCTGAGCCGGGGAGGGGGCGGAGCAGCACTGGAGGCGGCCAAAAGAAATCCAGCGCGCTGCAGCCGCTCCGGGTGCAGCCGTGCCCACCGCGCCCTCGCCTCCTTCCTCCAGCCGAGGACGCACCAGCTCCGGCCGCAGCCGCGGGAGCAGGCCACAGGGGCAAGGCCGCCCGACACTGCCCCGCGCTCCGCGTGGAAGGGGCCGAGGCCCCGGCGGCGTTTCGCCGGCGCGCGCTCAGGCCCCTACACGAGTCCGGGATCGGGGAAAAGGCGGAGGGAGGCCGGCGAGGTGGACGCCAGACCCAGGAGCCGCCGCCGCCGCCTCCAAACTTGCCGTCGCTGGGGTCTCCTTCCCGGTCAAGCCCCGCCGCCCACTACCCTCGCCTCACCTCCGGGGCCGCCTTGGAGCCAGAGGGTGGCGGGGAACACGAGCAGGAGAAGCAGAAGCAGGCGGGGGAGGAGTCTCATGGCGCGGCCGGTCCGGTATCCAGGCCCCGTCCACTAGTGCTGTCGGCGGCTACGGAGGTAATGGCGTTACTCTTCATCCGGGCTTCGGGCGGGGAGGGGCGGAGCACGTACCACGCAGGGCTTTCGCCACGCCCCCTTCCCTGGCTGAGGAACGCCGCCAGCGTGGCTGCTCGGCTCGGAGCGCAGGGGAGCGCCGGCGCCCCGGGGAGTCACGTGACCGGTTTGTCGGGCCTCTGAGATTCCCGCGACAGTTCGCCTCCCGCTGTAGACCTGGGCTGGGGACCTGCAGTTTGTCGCTAGCCGCGCCGTGACCGTGCCTCCCAATTAATTAGCATCGTTAGCGGTTACTTTATTTGAATGACGATCCGCCTGGTTCCTGGCGCCATAGTCTTTTTTTAAAATAAAGTCTTTGTACAGTTTTACCCAATAGTGATATAAGGAACATGGACTGTCTGTATGTGGCATTGAAAAGCAAAAATATGTTTTGGAATAGATAATTGTTCAAAAAACCCAGAAAGCCGCGGCCTGGTGGTGTAATGGTTAAGTTCAGGCCACCCTACGGCAGCCAGCCTGCGGTTCCCAGGGCCCCGGCCTCAGCACCGCTTATCAAGCTATGCTGTGGCAGGCCTCCCACGTATAAATAGAGGAAGATGGGCACAGATGTTAGCTCAGGGCTAATCTTCCTCACACACAAAAAAAACAAAAAGCGTAAAAAATACACAGTGGAAAATCTTTGCTCCTATCTACCCACACCCTCACCCAGAGTTAAACAGTGACAGTTCTTAAATTCTTACCTGACATTCCAGAGTTACAAATCACCTAGAACAGTGCCTGGCTTATAGTGAGCATTTGGCGAATATATAATGGAGGCAGCAATGGCTGTACAATTTCCTTCAGTTTCCTTCTTATCTAGTTTGGACTTTGGGTTGCTGCCAGTAATCTGGTATTTCATGCAATTAAACAATCTGAATACCAGGTACTGGTGGACTGGACCAGTGTGATGTCATATGGATGTTGAAACACATTAACCCTTGTGTGTTTATTATTGCTAATCACTGTCCCTTAAAACTGTGCTTTCATGTTTAATTTCATTTAATCTCTAAAACTCCCAATGAGCTGGATATTATTGACTACGAAGAAAGCTGAGACACAGAAAGGTAATTTATCCAAGGCTTAAAAACTAGTCAATGGCAGATGCAAGATTTGAACTTGGCATTCTGATTCCAGACTCCATGCCCCATTGGCCTAGGACAGCTGCTGTTCTGTTCCTGCATTGGCTCTGCTCAAGACTTCATTGCCCTGGGGCCCCTGTTAAGGCAGCTTGTGGCTGCTGCTGCCACTGTCTAATTCTGTCTGCTCAAGTCACAACCTCACAGTGCTGGGCTGAGCCAGTTCAGCTTCGCTTCATTTCATCAGGCCACTGGTGCTGCTGCTGCTGCTGCTGCTGCTGCTGCTGCTGCTACTAAGGAACCCCACAGAATGGAAGGCATCTTCTCACTTTGCTGCTGCCTCCACTCCTATGCATGGGTGGTACCAAAGCTTCCACTCTGTGCCAAAACCACCAGGACTGGTGACCCCATTTTGATGTGGCTGAACCCTGCTGAATACTCTACTGGCATGGGAAGAATCTCCCTTCCCAACTTTGAGGCACTTTCTGTTTCATGAGTTTCAAATCAGACCTGCTCTGAGTTCCTGATGTCTGACAGGTTTTTTGACAAACACATGATTCTATATAACTTGCTGCTCTCTCCTAGCATGAGAATCCAGTGTGGACTATAATAGAAGATACAGACATCATGTTGTATTCAAAATCACCTATTCCCTCTGTCACTGGGCCAAGGGTGTCTCACTGACTCTCTTTTCCCTGCAGAGGACTGATTTCCAGCAGGGAGAACTCTCATTCCTTATGTTAAAGAGATTCCTGGTAGGTCTGTCTCTCCAGTTCTCAAGACATGTTTAGACATAGCCTGAACCTGTAAGGATAATCCAGTTTAGGCTTAAACTGGGACTTCCACTTCAGTTATGTTATTAAATGATTACTAATGGATTTTATTTGGGACTCGAATTTTAATAATTTTATTTATTTTTTTTATTTTTTTCCCCCCCAAAGCCCCAGTAGATAGTTGTATGTCATAGCTGCACATCCTTCTAGTTGCTGTATGTGGGACGTGGCCTCAGCGTGGCCGGAGAAGCGGTGCTTCGGTGCGCGCCCGGGATCCAAACCCGGGCCGCCAGCAGCAGATCACACGCACTTAACCGCTAAGCCACGGGGCCGGCCCTGGGACTCGAATTTTAGATGACCAGCCACCGAAGGGGAGGAAGACTATCCTCTACGCACTCTGAATCCTTTCTGGTTGGGCTACAAATTGAATTGACATGAGACCGAATAGCAAGAGAAAATCAAACAAAGCTTTACAACATGTATACATGGGAGAAACCAGGGAAACTGAGTAACTCCACAAAATGGCAGAGGTTCTCATCTTAAACACTATCCTCAGCTACAGACAGAGAAGGATGTTGGGGGTGGGGGGAGTCAGATACAGGAGATTACCAAAAGAGCACAGTAAACAAGAGTAAGATTATTATGCAGATTTAAGGCCTCCCCTTATGCATTCACAAGTTTCTAGAGATAAGGTCATCCCCACCTCTTCTCAGTCCAGAGAGGGAGATACCTTTACAAGTGGAGATTTCCCTTCCAAATATAAATGTTTCGTAAACAGAACTTTGATAAGAATGGGCTTAGCAAGGACCCTCCCAGTCTATCCATACCCAGAGTTATCTATGGTGATGGCCTGTCCTGGGGACAGGCCTTCTATCTTAAATCCTTTTAGGCAGTTAGTGGGGGGATGGGGAGGTCAAAGTTTCTTTCAGAGTCTTCTGAGCCTTTATTGTCTTCAGCCCGAAATAATCCGCATACCAGAGTGGCACATCTTGGGGCAGCCTGCCCTGAACCCCATCACCAGTAAAGGTGCAGCAGGAACAAATAAAGTGTGCCCACTCTGGAGGTGACTGCTGTGATGAACTTAGAGAAAATGAAAACATACAAACACAAAACAAAGAGACCTGTGTGGCTGTCGGATTGGTATAAAAAGCAGTAGCCTATGGATCAGCAAAGTAAAATACTCGCCCTGATCTTAGTGCTCACAAATTCTGCATTATTGTGGTCTGCATTCTCCCTGTAGTAAACAGCTTTCCCTTGGTGCCCACCCAGAGCTCTCCCCCTTAGTGGGTTCCCATCCTTAACTTGTGGAATTAAGAATTCCATCTACTTGGGGCCGGCCTGGTGGCGTAGTGGTTAAGTTCATGCGCTCCACTTCGGTGGCTCAGGGTTCACAGGTTCGGATCCCGCGTGTGCACCGACGCACCGTTTGTCAAGCCATGCTGTGGCACCATCCCATATAAAGTAGAGGAAGATGGGCACAGATGTTAGCCCAGAGCCAATCTTCCTCAGCAAAAAGAGGAGGATTGGCAACAGATGTTAGCTCAGGGCTGATCTTCCTCACACACACAAAGAATTCCATCTACTAATTTATTTAGGTCCTCCCAGATATCTCCCCATGTTCTCTCACTCTCACATCTGCACCTATCTCTTTGACGATACGTTTTCCAAGAATATAACACATCCTGGTTATTCCCATTCATACAGCTCAGGCAAATCCCAGTTGATTCTCCACTTTTGTCATTTTATTCCCTTAGAATTTGTAAGAGCAGAGCTTTCTTTTCCTTAGATTACTTAAGATTTCTCTCAGCACCGTTAGCAAATGTGTTTATGGAGCACGGGTTTTGGTTCTGTTGTATTCTGCCTGGTAACTGAGTAGCCAGTGAACCTCCTCATGTCCTTTCAACATTTGCTCAACTGTCACTTGTCAACGAGGCTCACCCTCACCTTCCAGTTTATGGTTACAACCCTCTTGCCTCCCTCCCCTGCACTCTCGAGTCCCCTCTCGCTCTTCTCCTTTTTTCACAGCACTTGTGATCTTCTAACACAATATCTAGTGCATTACGCCTCCTGTCTGTCAACATCTTGAGGCCAGGGATCTTTGTGTCCTTGAGTCAATGTTACAGAACAGTGCCTGACACCAGGTGGTAACTCAGAAAATATTTGTTGAATTTGTTGTATTGTTACCAGTGACATATTTCCTCCACAAATTTGCAACCTAAGTTCAATTGTAGACCTAATAAGAAATGAAAAAATATTGACAAGAGATTTTCACATAGTGAGATATGTGGGGTAACTTCTGGTTCAATACTGATTCGGCTTGAACTAAAGAAGCCTGACTTATGGCCTATCAGACATACATTGTACAAACTGCTTTAACCATTAAAGAATGCACTCTCTTGGGCAGGCCCCATGGCTTGGCGGTTGGGTGCGCGTGCTCCGCTATTGGCGGCCCAGGTCCAGATCCCGAGCGCGCACCGACACACTGCTTGTCCGGCCATGCTGAGGCGGCGCCCCACATACAGCAACTAGAAGGACGTGCAACTACGACATACAACTGTCTACTGGGGTTTTGGGGAGAGAAAGGAGGAGGATTGGCAATAGATGTTAGCTCAGGGCCTGTCTTCCTCAGCAAAAAGAGGAGGATTGGCATAGATGTTAGCTCAAGGCTGATCTTCCTCAAAAAAAAAATAGAATGCACTCTCTTAAGATAAGAATACATACTTCCCCTCCTATGCCTTATTAGTCCCTTTCCCGACCTCAGGGTCATGTTGACCTGCTAATTTGCAACTGACTACCTCTTTGAAACTTTTATGAATATGTATCTTGGGCGTGCTTAATGTATGTTCTTTGTTCCAAAAAGGTATAAGACTGTACTGAAAACCATGATTCTCCAGAATGCTTTCTTGCTTTGTGGAAACTGCCTTCCTAGGTTATAATCCTCACCCTGGCTCAAGTAAAACTCACTTTATCTCTCTTATCTATAGCATGGTTATTGGTTATTTTTCATGGACAATATCAAGCAAAAACGAAAAAGTTATGTTTATTACATGCAAACAAAGACTTAAGTGTTCTTTCACCTAGCAAGGGCTAAGAAAAGAATTAAGATTTTTGTACTATACTTTACTTCTGACAGAAAAGAAGTTCTTTTGTGATCCTTATGAAAAGGGGGCAGG